TTTTCATCACTCTACATTATTTACTGCAGCACTTACTTTGTGTTTAATTACTCAGCAAATAACACTGCGACAGATCCTAGGGGAGCTAGCCCATTTTTTCGTTTTCAAACTTTCCAATATCACAATCTAATTACGTCCCTTTACTTTACACAGCTGGAATGCAGTCCATCAAATATTATTCATTAAAAAAAATAAAATGGGATCAAGGACTAAATAATAATGATCACTAATCAAGTTACTATTGTCACTAAAGGAGTTCATTGATGGCTCATTTCTCGCTAGAAATAATACTTGAGATGTCTAAAGTCTTGTGTTGAATTGTAAAATGTTGCCTTGGTTAAAATATGTACTGATTTATGTGCTGGAAATGAATATGTACAATATAATAATTAAAAAATTTCCATTTATTTAGATCAATAAAGACTCTTACCTTATCTTAATCAGACCTGGTAGCTGTGTCCTAGTTAAGTGGAGCCCATGTAATACTTCTGTTTGTTTATTACATATCTATATAGATCTATATTTATAGGATGTTTCCATGGCATTATTACAGCATGTCATTGAGACGAATTTTAAATAAACTGTATTTTAACAGTTGAAAACTGCTTTTTTAAACATTCACTATGTGCGGATGAAAAGATTTGTTACATTTTTAAAAAAAAATCTGCATAGTTTTTATATAAATAGCTATACCGGTACATGTAAATGAAGGTCAAATACATAATGTCTACACAATGTCATATATACCTGTACAAGTAAATGAAGGTCAAATACGCAATGTCTACACAATGTCATATATACCTGTACATGTAAAATTTTGTAAATGAAGGTCATATACACAATGTCTAGACAATCTCATATATACCTGTACATGTAAATGAAGATCAAATAGATAAGGTCTACACAATGTCATTTTTTAAATGTATTTAATTAAGTTAGTCTAATATTGTTGGAATAAGATTATTTGAAATTCAAAATATTTTTTTTATTTTGCAGTCTGTTTTCATGAAGTAACTACACCCACAAATTTAGAGAAAACAAATTTTAAAAGGTAAAGAATAATTATTTATGATTCAGTTATGTACTTTATCAGTAAGTATCATCAGTGAAGTCTTTGCAGTGCCATAATATAATAAAGGGTGTGCGGTGGGGCGCGGACGGCCCCAGGTGGCATTAATCTCATCTTCGCCACTAACTCTTGGTAGTCTATTATCTTCTTTGCCATTCCATGATTTTTTTTTCTATTTTATAAAGTTTAATCATCATGACAACCATGTCATTTGTTTATCATATTATTAAGGCATTTTTAGAGTGACTACAAGCTTCTGAAAATATTATAATTATATATCAAAGGGCAACACCTCCACTCCGATGATTGAAAGTTAGCACCCATTAACATTCGTCCTGCCATTAAAAAAAAAAGAAATGTAAAAATCCTGCTCTGATGCAGACAGAAAAATTTCTTCCTATATTGAAACCTTGTGGTAAAACATACCTCAGCAATTAAATTGTATAGGTGTAGTCACTGACATTTTGAACTTTCAATATCTTTCTTCATTTATGTTCAACTCATCTAACGTCTTTAAAATATTCAAATCTATAACATGACCTTTTTTAGTTTTAATTTTAGGCAGTTCTTTACTGTCAACAAATAATTGTAGGTCGTTATGGGTCACCTGTTCAACAAGCAATTATAGGCTATTCATTCTACAGTATGGTTTTACAGAATGTGTTGTGCCAATAGGCTGCAAATAATTGTAGATAATTAGTTATCCTGAATTGGTATAGACTACCCTATTCCTCTAGTCCACACGGACTCCCCTGTTCCTCCAGTCCACACTGACTCCCCTGTTCCTCCAGTCCACACTGACTCCCCTGTTCCTCTAGTCCACACTGACTCCCCTATTCCTCTAGACCACACTGACTCCCCTGTTCCTCTAGTCCACACTGACTCCCCTATTCCTCTAGTCCACACTGACTCCCCTGTTCCTCTAGTCCACACTGACTCCCCTGTTCCTCTAGACCACACTGACTCCCCTGTTCCTCTAGTCCACACTGACTCCCCTATTCCTCTAGACCACACTGACTCCCCTATTCCTCTTCAGGTGTGACTGAGGGGAGTTCCTCTAGTCCACACTGACTCCCCTATTCCTCTAGTCCACACTGACTCCCCTGTTCCTCTAGTCCACACTGACTCCCCTATTCCTCTAGTCCACACTGACTCCCCTGTTCCTCTAGTCCATACTGACTCCCCTGTTCCTCTAGACCACACTGACTCCCCTGTTCCTCTAGTCCACACTGACTCCCCTATTCCTCTAGTCCACACTGACTCCCCTGTTCCTCTAGTCCATACTGACTCCCCTGTTCCTCTAGTCCACACTGACTCCCCTATTCCTCTCGACCACACTGACTCCCCTATTCCTCTAGTCCACACTGACTCCCCTGTTCATCTTGACCACACTGACTCCCCTATTCCTCTAGTCCACACTGACTCCCCTATTCCTCTAGACCACACTGACTCTCCTGTTCATCTAGACCACACTGACTCCCCTGCTCTTCTAGACCACACTGACTCCCCTGTTCCTCTAGTCCAGGCCTGCACAACTAAAAATGTAAGGCGGGCTGTAATAATTTATGAAAAACTTGTGGGCGCCAAAAGAAAATAGGACATGGGGAAAAGCTATTAAGAAAATAATAAGAATAAAGAATATGTTGTTACTTCACGGGCCGCAAAGAGGGTGCTGGCGGGCCACATGCGGCCCACATGTTGTGCAGGCCTGCTCCAGTCCACACTGACTTCTTTGTTCCTCTAGTCAGCACTGACTACCCTGTTCCCCTAGTCAGCACTGACTACCCTGTTCCCCTAGTCAGCATTGACTTCTTTGTTCTTTAAGTCCTTCATCAGCTAAAATTGTTCCTTCTTCTCTGATAAATTCCCCATTTACTTTGTAAATATTGACTTGACTTCAATTATAGTTTGTATATTATGATGAGTTCTTACCAGTTTCTCTCCACTGTCTTCAGCTGTCAAACAAATTCAGCTACTGGCTTTAGTTTTATTGTGTAATGTTTTTAGAGTTATTATTTTTGGTGTAAATTGTACTTACCACAATTCTAAGCCATAGATTTATTTGTGCAATGTGAAAGCTGGTTTGTCTCAACCTATTCCAATGTAATCTCTGATTACTCATTTATTTAAAACTGTTTAAAAAAAATTTAATAAATAAATTTACTTTTAGAAAACTGTTATTAAAAAGTCAATAAATAAATTTACTTTTTGCAGAACATTTTTAGAATGTATATGGTAATGTTCATGAGTTTGTTATACGTAACTGGAAAGAACTATTCTTCAATGATTTTTTTTTTCAAAAACATTTAGAGATAAAATTCATGATTCAATTTTATGTAAAATATGACACATGAAACGATTTCTCTATATCAATTGTGTATTTTCTCATTTGGATTCAAAGTTGTTGTTTTTTTATAGAAATGTTTGAAATAAAGAAAAGCCTGGATATTTCAAAATACATTTAATTTATAAATGCATGAAAGAAAAATAAATTTCAAATAAAGCCAAACTATTGTATCACTTGCAGAAAATATTTTTGTACACAACACTTGGGACACGGGAGAGGTTCAAAATAGCAACAAACTGAAAGTGTACAAACAAAATTATGTCTCATATATTTTATGATTAGTTATGCGTATCAATACAATCAGTACATCTACATGTAAGTGCTCACTTAACAATTTAAAATACATTTATTATTCGTCCCAATATTTTTTGTGTTATTCAAGTTCAATGAACAATGTCATCAATATTAAATAAAATTGGCTACGCACACCAAGAAAACCCTGGCCAAAAACGTCTGTAGGTTGTCAAGCTCTGAAAGCTTACAACTCTTTCCAAAGGATATTTTAATTTTATCTGAGTAAAATTATTTGTAAAATGGTTATTAATTTTAGAGAACTACCTGAATGGTTTTTTTTAAAAATTAGTGTAGGAACAGCTCTGTCAGTGGTGGTATCAATATTTAAAGGTTCTATTTAGTTAATGTACGAGGAAAGGCTTGGACTTTTTTTGTAATAAGTGGAGATTGGATACGTACTGGGAAAAAAACAACAGGTCAAAACTTTTACTATTAAAGACACATGGGATGCAAAACACAACGTAGCATTAGCCCATATTCAAGACATTATTCACACATCTTACTAGAATTATCTTTGTACTAGGTTGAACAGAGGGAAGAAAATGTTCTATAATACATTTCTTTATCACAACATGTATGACCTGCAAACTAGTGCTGGTAAGGGGGACACAATGGAAAATAAATATGGAAAATAAAAAAGAATTAGGGAAATTATGTTAAATTTTATCAGTACATCACAAGAGTTCAGATACTGTAGACTATTTGAAATATTTTATGACAAGAAAACATTTTTAGTTGATAAATTAGAGAAACATCTTGCCAACAATTTTATAACTACGCTTTTCATGAGATCTAAATTTGACCAAAAAATATGCTATTTTAGGTATTGCATGCTAAAGTTTTGTTCTGTCTCCACTTTTAAATACAATAAACTTCCCAAAAGAAACAAAACTAATTCAGGATAAAAGCATGGAAGCAAAGAAACAAACCCAGACCAAAATAATATTTCTAAGTCTCAATAACAGGTAACCTTGTGCTATTAGAGTCTCAATAACAGGTAGCCTTGTGTTATTAAAGTCTCAATAACAGGTAGCCTTGTGTTATTAGAGTCTCAATAACAGGTAGCCTTGTGTTATTAAAGTCTCAATAACAGGTAGCCTTGTGTTATTAAAGTCTCAATAACAGGTAGCCTTGTGTTATTAAAGTCTCAATAACAGGTAGCCTTGTGTTATTAGAGTCTCAATAACAGGGAGCCTTGTGTTATTAAAGTCTCAATAACAGGTAGCCTTGTGTTATTAAAGTCTCAATAACAGGTAGCCTTGTGTTATTAAAGTCTCAATAACAGGTAGCCTTGTGTTAGTAGAGTATTAAAAAAGCTACTGGTACTTAACTTATCAAGACAAAATAAATTTCTTATGTAACAAGATTGCAAAAAAGATTCCAATTGAACAAAATTCAAAACCATTTATAAAATTGTTCACAAAAGTTACAAAACTTATATTTATTTACCACTTTTAAGTTATTGTCCCAGACCTGTGTCCAAGTGCCCTACTCATTCTAAAATAAGATTTTGGAGGAATCAATCAGATACAAAGTTGTTCATTGATCGTTCTCAAGTAAGCCTGTTTGCATAAGAGTTTCATTAGTTCTTATTGGATATACCGGTTCTAACATGTCCATTCAAAGATTTACTTAATATTTAGTAAGTCAAACCATTGAAGTTAATTACTGCTAACTTTATAGTGCAGTAATGTGATGATACTGACCAATTAATTCTCACAAGCATGAGTGTGGTGGGAAAAACAGGATTTGCATTGTACTACATTAGACCCTGAGTAGACGGTAAGAAAACCATCTCATTCTTTATTTAGATTGATTAATCATAAAAAAATACATGGTAAAACGTAAAATGAACAATAAAAAAAAAAAGAATTGAGGAACCTCTTTTGTCAACACAACTCTAGCAAACAAGGGCTTTACAGTTCTCATTTAGCTAACTGCTGCTAACACATTCGGATAATCTCAAGGATAGTTGATGTTCATATATGAACACTGACACAATGCCTGCTATATAATTTTTCGGATAATATTCAACAATTTACAAAGACTTTCTTTATCTAGAACTTCCAATTAGCCACTAATGTCAACTCAAATGTCTAAGAAAGTATCAATTTTGGTTGCAATGAACCAATTGTTAAAAGGCATGAAAAATGCATTTGTAGTGACCTAACATCTTATAAGGAAAAGTAGATTCAGAGAAATATTCATGAAATGTTCAAGAACCAATCATCATCCACTCATGTCTAAATTATGGTAACAAGGTGGAGACTTAGTTGTATGGGACTATTTCCAATAACTAAGAGGCTAAATATTGGTAGATAAAATAAGACAATAGTTTCTATATAAATCTAAATACTCAATCAATTACTGAATGAAGCCGAGGCAAAGGAAAGATCTAAAATCTCTGGTAAAAGATATTTGAATAGTTCCATGCAGTAAGGGAGGGGGAATGTTGAAAGCTGAAGTACTAAGTTCAAATAAAAATGTCATTCTGAAACTTGATCAGCAATAGGGCAATAAAACTCAATTTCTGCATAGTGTCCAGTCTAAGTGACATATGAGGACTTTTTTCTGTGCTCATTGAAGTTGTGTTCAAAGAGCGCTACAAACAGTTGGGTAAAAGGAATACAAAAGTAGGAAGGTTCAGACACCATGCCCTCCGATGATGTGTACAGTACTTGTCACATTTTCCTTGAAAGGCTTTGTCACGATGTTGTCACCATGGCTTCAACTATTTCCTTGAATAGTCTTAATGAACAAAGAGGTCAAGTTTATCAAATGATATGAAATCAGTCACTACTGTTGAAAATGAGGATAATAGTTTACAAAAAGAGGAGTTCTCAAGTGGAAACAAGGCAAAGGAGAGACAAGACCTTGGAAAGAGTCACACATCCCTGTGGGTTAAAAAAAAAAACTTCACTAGCCTGTTAGTTAGAATTCACCATAAGGTTTGAGCTCCTTATTTCAAGGTAACTAAACACATGAAATAATCTGGATGCATCTAAAGCAAGTAGGGCTTGCGCACACACATTGTACACACACTGTGGATGTTATAACATTGTACAAACCTTGATGTACAAATAAATAAGCACAAATATTCTGGATAAATCTAAAACATGTTAGTGTGGTACACACTTGCCATGTACACAAAGTCACTACCTTGAGAGTGTTATTTGTATAAGTGTACACATGAAACTTTGGGTTCCGAAGAGCACACAGATCACTGGCAACACATTTGAAATGGATGAGAAATATGAGTTCATTCACACTCACCCCTCCACCCAATCTATGAGATAAACCATATATATCTTTACAATCTTTAACAGAACAGTTTAATCACAGTGAACAATTTGATTGTGTAAAATATTTAAAAAAGTGATAAATAAGCAAGGGCACTCAAAACAAGATGCACTCAATGTTGGACATTTTACTTGACCCCCTCTTTTACTCTATACTGTCAGTCAGTTTTTCTCAATGATTTCTCAAGTGTATACATTTTGCAAATATCTTATATAAATAAATTATTGGAGCAGCTATTGCACTACAAATAGCTCGCCCACCGCCCCCAAAACAACACTTTTATTACACACTTGATCTTCAAGTCCCCAGTATTGTGACAGAGGTGGACTACTGCTCCAATTTCATAACATTCACTTTCTTAAAGCTTTTAAGACATTATGAGATTGACAGTTTCATTGTTTCTAAAACATCAGATACATTTAAATTGCTTATTTTACAATTATAATGTCATGACATAAAGCATGTACTTTATTTTTCTATTCTTATTTAAGGTTCAACCGACAAACATGCTCAAAACACCACTATACAAAGGGTTTTAGATTTTAAAAAAAAAATATATAAACTTGTTTTTGCACTGATAATCACAAAAGATTATTGAATGTCCGTATTACTAGAGCCAAATGTCCATATTACTAGAGCCAAAATAAAAGCTGACCTGACTGACTGCAACAGTAATATCAGAGGTCAAAATCAACCTTACACATTTCAATGCAACAATGTTGCAATGTATCATAAAGCAGAATGTACAGTTATCACATTTTCTAAGTATGCTACAGCACATTCGACCCCACGAGGAACTCATCAACTCTTTACATATGGCTCAACTAAAAAAAATTCTTAAGCAAAACCCTGAGCTTCTATGCACCTTTAGAATTCTGAAACTGCTTGACTAAATAAAAAGGCTTCAGTTGATTTCCTATTATTAATTTTGTTTGAAAGAGGTTTTAATAAATTTCAATCTCCTAGTGGATGTGCCTAGAGTTAATTCTGATTAAGCGTCTAATTTGCATGGGGTTTCCCAAGTTAATCATTGATTACAACATAAAAACAAAGTATTCAGTAAGACCTACACGTAAATATGGCTTTCATTTCTTGAGACGTCGGCTTCCACCTCATGATTAAGCATTAAAACACTTAAAAACCATATTCCCACAAATGATTCCCAATTGCCAGGCACTCCAATAAATATCCATGATGAGGTCGAATTCAGCTACAGACTAATGCACCTAAAATTATCTAAACATCACTTTTCATGTTCTCTAGGCCACGAACTTTCATCCATTTTAGCTTTGATGGTATCAAATTTGCACTGATGTAACTCTACAGTCTTCTCCAATTCTAACCCTACGACGCCTTTGTAAGGGATTCTATTTTTGGCAATCTCACGGCTGGCCAGACATTGAAGAGTGGTAAACTTCAGAGGCGGAACGATACTATGCAGAGGAACAGAATGCAACAAGTCTGTTGCTGTCTCACCTTTATTATTACATGCATCAATATGGCTCCAATTCTCTATCAACACTTTGAGCACTTGGCGATCAGACGGCACATCTTTAGCGGCGATGTGAAGAGGTGAGTTACCCTCCTCATCAAGGGCATTGGGATCCGCTCCAACTTCAATCAAAAGATTTATTACGTCCAGACTAGGAAATTTGCAAATGGGATACCGACCTACATCAGTCGTCTCACGAGTGCATGCAAGATGGAGGAGAGTGCTTTTCTTCAGACCAAGAGGAGCCATCCTCACTAAACGGTAGACAATTTTCCTAAAATCCAGCTTGTCGTCCCCTGATAATAAAAGTTCCAGCCGCGTCATGAGACAAAGTAAATGTAAAACTATCACCATCAACCTTTTGAGATTAGACAAACTTCGGTTCTCGGCATCAGCAACAGTTATTTTCTGTGATTTACTGAAAGCGATGGCTCTTTGAATTTCTTCCACCGCACGTTGCAAAACAGCCATTAGATTTTGAAATTTGAGACAAGAAAACAAGTCTCTTCCTCGCCACTCCGATGTCATGAAAGAGAATAATTCAGCGAAAGACAAGAAACTGGATTGAGTCATGGGGCTCACAGGTTCCAAAGCACTTTGTTGCATTTCGAGGGCGTACATCCAGAGAGAGATACATCTGTCAAAGTTGCCCATGTCTGCATACAAAGCCCCGCGATAGCGAATGTAATAGGAGGTGTCCGGGTGAGCAGGCCCAAGAATCCTCTCCCTGACCAGCAACGCCTGCATCCTCATCTCATCCGGGTCAGAAACTAGTTCATCAAGCATGCTGCTTGACCTGGCCTCGACTGCATATTCATATGCTTCTACTGGCTTCACATTTGTAGGCTTGGGGAAAGTTTTTGACCCATCCTCGAACCTCAGCTTCATAGCTCTCTGCCATACTTCAAGAGCGGCTATGTTATCACGTTTCCTATCAATATATGTAGCACCTAAAAGTTCTAGAGCCTCGATCTTTTCTAACCGAGAGCATTCTGTACGGCTGATGAGATACTCTACAATCTGGTGATAGCCCGCTACTGCGGCTGCCATTAAAGGTGTCATTTGGTAGTGATCTTTGACCATAATGGCTCCATGCTTTAGCAAAAGTTTCATTATTTCCAGGCTTCCTGACTCTGCACAATCATGGAGGGCTGTGTTACCTGTAGTAAAGTTAGAAGAATTTATGAGATAAATATTTTAATGTTTGACATTAAATGACAAATAAAAGAAATATTTAAATTCATTTATAATACATTTCAGAGCAAAGATAATTGCAAGTCTTTGTTAGGGTTGCACTAATAAACCTGCGAAAAATGGTGATTTGCTCATTTGACTATTTAATAAGCTTAGGTATGAAAATGCTAACCAGGTGTTTAGGAGGCTAATCTTGACAGTGTCAATAGAATCTTGGAGTTTTAAATACTGGTACCATTTTTGTAAAATTTTAGCCAAACAACTACAAGCAAGTGTACGATCATTTTATTTTTTTTCCTCTGGTCAATTTTTTTGTTCTATGACAGCAAAATAAAAATCACTTTTTTCCAAGCTTTGAAGATATCAATATCCTGATATGATGAAAGCAACTCTTTTAGCATCTTTCTTTAATTTAGCTATGTCTCAAGCCCTAATATTAGTTCTATTTACCAAAGATAACAACATACACCACAAGGAATAAATTGATGGCTGCGACTATTCGTACAGAATCAAAATGGACCCAGACACACAGCACCGCCATTCGCACCCGGGTACTATTAGACTCAAGCTATGGGGATGTCATTTGTGGTAGTTTATTTTAGTTAAACTGAAGAATTAAGTTACAAACATATAGTCCATTCAATTATCTTTCATTTGATACCTTATTTTGTCTTGCAAATCCAACAATAAAATTTTAAATAGTTTTTTAATCCCAACTACTCACTTCTAATACCCTGGTGTGAATATTTTATTAAGTCTTCATTTAAAACCCTTCTTCATTATGCAAGGACTTACAACAGAATCCAGGGTGCAATCAAAGACCGTAATTGAGATTTTGATTTATTATTTTCTTAATTTTGAAAGAAAAAGGGGGCGGCCACCAAACATAGTTAAAATAAATATAAGTAACCATAAGGATTGTGCCATAATTCCCAAGGGGAGAAGGATTATGCCATAGTGCCCAAAGATTGTGCTATATTTCCCAAGAATTTAAATCTTAAATATGAGTCAAGGGTTCAGATATTCCTCAGAGAGAAGATTACAAGTGGTTTGAGGATGATTTTAAGATGATCGGGATATTTTAAAAAGATTTCCGTACTTACCGTAAAGGATTTTGAAAGTCAAATTTAAAAAAAAAAAGGGCAACAAATCAAAGTCCATGGCATGCAGAATGTTTAAGCTCACAAGAAAATTATTGATTTGAAGTATCAGGTACTACAAGTAGAATGAGATGAAGGCCACATCGTGAAACAAGTGTAATGAATTAAATACATTACAGTGTTACAAACTAAAGCTTGACTTTCAACAAATAAATTTTTCTCTAACAGATGTATTTCTAAATGACTAAAATTCACACCTACAATGGCAATCCCAGTGTCACCCAACATCTGCTAAGCATTTAACACCCCAGCAAGATCAGTGAGAGGAGGGCAATTTTCCACTGTTAGAACAACAAGTTTAGGGATGCTATTTAGAATGTTAAAAAGATTTATTTTAATCTCACTAGAAGCAGAAGCCTGACTCACTTAGATGTACTTATGAGGGTAAAAAAAGTATGATTTTCTAATAAAGTACCTGAACATCTTTATATTTTTAAATTCCTTAAATTACTCTAAGAAAAATACAAAGGTAACGGCCAAGAAAATGACGAGCAAAGACAAAAAATAATAAAACAAATCAAAATAAATGTGCATATAAAATAGAAAAACATTTCTTATTATATTTAAAGGAAAATAACTTAATTAAGTATAATAATCCTGGTATAACTTTATTAACTGTTTAGCTACCAAATTGAAAAACCCGCTGTGGCTGAATTAAATCTAGGTGACATTTACTACGATACAAACATTGGCGCTACCAGCTGCCATAACGAAAAAAACGCCTAGCCGTTCCAAGCGGCTAATGGTAGTTAACCAGTTAATCAGCAAAATCTTGATTGATCCTCAGAAATAAAATATTTTCCAAAATATCTGGTTTAAGCGAAGATGCAAATCACTTGCTATAAACTTAAGTGCAGAAAATAGCCTTGCTTGTGAAACTGGCGAACAAGTGACTATTCTGCAAGCCTCTTGAATATTTTTTGGGTAGTGTTCAATTCCCTGGAAAGCTGATTTGATTTTTAAGCGTCCTTTTTCTTCCATTTCCTTACAAGTATCTTTGAAATTTTGGTTAAAAGAATCTTTACTTGTGAAATTAATTTAAAGAGCACATATTAACATTCATAGTTGGAATAGAAGATTTGCTATGGAGCTGGAGCGAAATATGTCAGCAAATATTTCGGCTCTGGTGCAAGTGAAAACAATAGCTCCGGCTTCAATGCCTTGTTGGCAGTACATCTGAATGACATTTAGTTTGGTTTGTGTTCAATCATAAGTGGCAGTACATCTGATTGACATATTTAGTTAGAACCATCAGGAACGAGTTAACTCATTCTAGACGTTTGCGACTAAATGCGTCCTGGGGGGGTTTTGCCTGATGCGCCCAAATGCGTCCCGGCGCATAGCGACACACCTCTCTCATTTCTATTTAAAAATAGCAATGAAATCTCGCATCTCTCGAAACTTCTGGTGATGGCCCGGTTTCTGCGTGATTTCAATTTAAAAACCGGAATTTTTTATCTTGTTTCACTTTAAAACTACATGTGCTTTAGTACGGCACATCTATATGTAGCATGTGTTCGTCAGAGGTACCGAAAATCAATTTTTTGGTCATTGTTCGTTATTTTTTCCTGCTAATTTTATATTTTTATTAAACCTTATTCATCTTTTGTTGCATTTGTTCTTAATTCATTAACTTTAAATAATATTTAGCAGCTTAAATAAATATTTTACATTTTAATCAATTACAAAACGGAGTTACTTCCCTTTCTCTGGCAAATAAATTAAGTATGGAAGTAGCATTGCAGGAGGGAATGAGTAAATGAACTTTTTAAATTATGACAGACATTTCAGACAAACATTTGTTTAAAAAATAAACATTTTCAAATTTAGAAACAAAAATTACTAAGTCCTATGTAGAAAGCTTGCTGTCATGCTAATATTCCCAAATGGTAATTTATATAACCAAAAAGTTAAAAAAGAAAACATGTGCAAATTTATCTAGCCGTAATTTGTAATTAAATAAGAAGGGATGGGCCAGTCATGGACATTGGCATAGTGCAACCCTGGAATGTTTAGAAAAATGAATTTTGTTTCAATTTCCTAAGTATTGAGATGACAAACCTTTTATACTTTTCCTGTTTACTTGAGCTTTAAGTTTCAGTAAATACTCAACAATCTGCAAATGCTTCTTGTAACAGGATATCATCAAACAAGTATGGCCATGTCTATTTGCTATTTCGATGTCAGCCTTTTGTTCAACTAGATATTTAACAATTGAAAAATGTCCATCAAAGCATGCTGCTCTTAGTGGAGTTGAATTTGTGAAGGTTGTTTTATTAACATTTGCCCCATGTTCCACAAGATACTTCACAATACTAAGATGTCCCGCAGCAGCGGCACACCAAAGAGGTGGGGCACCTTCAATAGTCTCACCATCAAAAGTAACTGAGCCTACTTGCTCTATTTCAGCTTTGCACTGTTCTACCAAATACCTAACTACTTCTAGATGACCATTTCTACCAGCCATAATTAGAGGAGTAGCACCATTTGTTTTAGCATGAATCAGCATCGAAACTTCATCTCTTGAACGTTGGTCTAAAAATACACGTAGACGGCCTAATTTACCGTCTCTAGCTGCGTTATACACAATAGTCCGATATTCCATGAATGCTTCGCAATCAGGAATTGATTATTTTCAATTAAAGCATTATCTATATAATCACTCAATTCGAAGGATGGCGTTTCAGGCCATTGACAAGGAAAATGACAACAAGTTTTTGTGATGGCTGACAACTGAGGGGGCGCTGAACATTTAAAGGGGAGCCACTCTAACATCACGAACTAATTTACACTCCGGACACCAAAGAGCTCAGTACATTTTTCATAATCTTACTCAGCAAAGAGCTATAAATATTATTATCACTTTATTTTTTCCTTCACAATTTAAAAAGAAGATGTTGCGTAATTAGACAAATTAATTTCTTTTCAATTAATTACTTTTCGGCACACTCAAAAAAACTAATCTAAAAGACAATCGTTTTTACAATTGGTACTTAATATATTTAAAAAAAAAAACAATTAATTGCTCATACACATGTCATTATTTGTCTTACACCATACTCAAACCTCTCATCGTTGAACAAAAAAAACCCAAACAACAAATGAATTAACATTGAAGCCCGTACCCTCTATAACTTCTATAACATTGAAGTCGTGATTGTGATTTTTAAAAATAATTAACCACAAAATATTTATTACTGTGACGCCCGGGGAGGTCCTTGGTTTTTGCCGCCCTTGACTCAAGAATACCGTAATACGTTAATAATAATAATAATATTAAAGTTTATTTCAAAAACACGCTTCATCCCCAAAGCCTCGAATCGCGGTACAAGTACAAAGTCAACAAAAAAACAAATCTATAATTTACCACTTTTAAAACAAACGCAACACTACAAAAACTAATTACAAGCATACCAAGTCAAAGTCATTCTACCCATTTCAACCCTAAACAACACAGTCAATATGCATTAAATGGAAGATATGGTAGACAATCATCCCAGAAGGTGTTTGCGAAATAGATGTGTCTTTAAATCGGTTTTAAAGGACTCCAGTGTCTGGTTGTTTCTGAGATCGACAGGAAGGGCGTTCCAAATTGTTGGACCAGCAAATGCGAAAGTGCGCTTTCCGTAAGTCTCAAG